TTTCGATGTAATCGTTCTCCTTTGTCACAATCATATCGGCTGTCAACAGGATGTGGTCGTCTGAGTAGCACCACCGTCTCAGCCCTCGATGACTTGCGTTCCATCTCTTTCATTACTTCTCAGGGTATCGCGAGTATAGCCTCCTGGTGCTCTGCTATGGGAATGAAGGCGGCATAGTCACTGCTGGCTCTTTATCCTGCTGAATGTGCCTCTTCAGAAGGATTTTACATTTACTGCACTACCTTATTAAGTTATCCCTGCATCAATCTGCTTGGACCTGGGGGAGATTCCTGATTATCCAAACTGTTGACAAAATGAGAATGTCTTGCGACTCGAGGGTACGGTTGAGGGTTCTGTGGTTCTTCTTGGTCTAACACTACCTGGGAATAGTCGGTATGGTTGTGGGATAGGTGAGCATTTATGTAGTTGGTTAGTGGCTTCGCTGTTTTCTGACCACTTTTTTGTCTCTCCTCTTTTCTATCTCGAATTAGGACAGAACAACAGGACAAAGGACACTGACAGGACAATTGGGGACTTGAAGAACAGTGCATTCTCGACATGATCATTCCCTTTTGCCAACACTCAGTCGGGCATCAACAAGGTCAAATAGAGGCATTATTATCGGGTGGGCGACATGGCGCTGATGGCAAGAGGAAGGACTAATGGTAGGAAGAAGAGCTGATGGCAAGAGGGAAGACTAATGGCAAGAGGAAGAGCTGAAGGTAACGAAGCAGTGGGAACGGGAGATACCTGCCTTTGTTTTCTCACGCGACAATTGCAGTCCGGAGGTGTGTGTGTGTGTGTGTTTTTTTTTTGGCTATTGAGTGCGGCATTTCCAGAAAAACTGGACATAGGAGTGTTCCTTTGAACATCAAATGACTCTATCTCTCTTTGTACTTTTCAGGCGAAAGAATATTATTGTTATCCATAGATAATAAAATATATGTATTTGCTTCACTATGCTGTTTTTTCAAAAGGCACGAAAAGAAAAAACACTATTTTTAATCTAACAAGAAATCTGAATGCGAAATGAAGGACCGATCATCCAGATACGCTGGTCTTAATGGGTGAACAGGCGATGGGATTTTGAAATACGTCTCAGATCGTTTTCAATAGCAATGGAGGGCGCATGGTCTCGCAAGCCCACCGATAAGATTTTTTTGTCGTGGGGTTGTTGTCCGATGCTCACTCCTGTAGTTCTTCACCTCCTTAGAGAATCTTCCGCTGGTACTTAGGCGCTCGGGTCTACTGGCACCCTGATTCTTGTACTTCTTTGTGGCCTTGTCCTGCGAAGGCTTGTAGGACCGGCCATTCAACATTTTGTAAAGGATAGCGCCTTCACACCACATATTCACTGTTGTACTATGCAGGATTTTTTTTGATCGAACAACTCAGTAGCTTGATAGCCAACTTTTCCCATAAGTCCAATAAAATTAAACCAAAGCAAAGCATTCGCCTAGGTTGGTGTCGTGTTCATTTTTTTTGAAGGAGCAGTGAAATGAAAACCAAGAACAGTACCGCTTACCGGATTTTCTTTAAACTCGGGCATGAATGCCGTTACTAAGCATGACGTTCTCTGACTTGAGATAGATGTGATCTGAAGGATTAATGTTGATTTGAGTGTGCCAAGCGACAATATAGTGAGGAAAACGTACCCTGGAGCCTCTGCCTGACATTTGAGAGTGAGAGTACGACATCTTGCCATCGAGGTCAAGACCGACACAGGTCGCATTCCAGTCCATGAAATAGAGGATGGGGATGGCTTTTTTCCCTTCCTGGTGCTGGTATATTTTGGCAGGGCAACCATCCCCTTCCTCGTCATATCCAACTGGTTCATAAGCTATACCTAAATCTAACATAGCAGCAGAGGCAAGATTAACATTCATTGTATTTCAGTGAAGATGTCTCTTCCTTGATCGTACTACAACCAAAAGGAATAATGCTTACATCGTCCACACTCACTTGCAATTTTTTATATCAGCAAAGACAGACGATGGCCAAGGACCAACGACCCACTTGATTCACCGCGAACTAGGAGAGACACCCCTGTAGAAGGAGCTCGTTTATTTTCACGAGGACGTGCCTTCAATTGAACCTAAGTGATGTGTAGAAAAGGCTCACATTCAACTTTATCAGGTAATGGCATTAGGGGAGAGAACTCGATTTTCGACCACTGCTTTTGACAGCGACTCGAAAACGATCTGAGACGTATTAAAATCCCATCGCCTGTTCATCCATTAAGACCAGCGTATCCGATTGATCGGTTCTTCATTTCGCATTCAAATATCATGTAGATGAAAAGTAGCAGTGCTTCTTGTCATACCCTTTGAAAGAACAGCAGAGAGAGAGTAGCAAATACGTATATTTATTATCTATGGAAAACACTGATATGGCATTGCCTGAAAGTACAAAGAGAGAGATCATTTAATGTTCAAAGAGACATTCCTAGGTCCAGTTTTTCTTGAATGCCGCACTCAATAACTAAGCACACACACACACGTCCAGGTTGTAAATGTCGCGCGAAAGGGCGAAGGCAGGGGTCTCCCGTCCCTACTGCTTCGTTGCCATCAGCTCTTCTTCTTGCCATTAGTCCCTCCTCTGCCATCTACACCATGTGGCCCACCCGATAATACTGCTCCTGTTTGACCTTGGCAATGTTAAGCGACGCCGGACTTGCTTCATGCTCTGCTATGATGGCTTGATTCCTGTATGGTTCTGCGAAGTACATGAAGAAGACGTGAGCGACATGAAGCCCACCCGATAAAAATGCTTCTGTTTGACCTCGTTGCTACCTGACTGAATATTTGGGAACGGAGAATGATCACGTCGAGAATGTACAGTTCTTCGCAAAATCCCTGCTCGCTCGCCTATCGTCCTGTTAGCGTCCTTTGTCCTGTTGTGGGGCCTAGTTCGGGCGAGAAAGAAACAAAACGAGGAGAGACAAAAAAGTGGTCAGAAAACATCGAAGCCACTAACGACCTTCATAAATACTCTCCCATCTCACAACCATACCGACCATTCCCATGTAGAGTTAGACCAAGAAGAAACCATAGAACCCGCAACCGTGCCCTCAAGTCGCAAGACATTCTCATTTTGTCGACAGTTTGGATAATCAGATATCCCGATACAGGGATACCTGAATATGGTAGTGCGGGTTAACGAGTACCTTAAATCTTGCCGAGGATGAATGAGGAAGTGGGACAAGTCAATTGAACAACGCGGATAAGGCAAATTAAGGAAGGTTAAGGGAAAGAGGGATAAGGTAAAGAGGCTGAAAGTAAGGAGGGTGAAAGTAAAGAGGGTGAAAGTAAAGAGGGTGAAATTAAAGAGAGAAGGCGAAGAGAGAGAGGGAAGGAGTAGAGGGCCAATAGGAAATAGGGATTAAAGGAAGAAGGGAATGGACTCTGAGGTACCTATGCAGCAGTACCCCTGCTAAACACAAAAAAGAAAACGTCATGCGGACATGGAGGCAAAATACTCGATGGAAGCAAAAAGGAAGCTAGGCAAAAACAAGGGGAGAACCAGGAACGTAGTGCCAGAGACAAATAAACATGAAATGATCACAGGGCCTTGGTACGGGCCTTCTCCTCTAACTGCCTCATAACCAAATATGGTACTCACTCGAGATCAACGTCTCTTGCCTCGCCCTTTTAGACTTGCAAAGGAAGAGGAGGGAAAGCATACTGACTTGTAGAAGGAGGGAGAGAAAGAAAGTGCAGTCAGACAACCTAATGTGTTGGCAACACCAAGAATCAAAGCTATTAATTGTACAGCTAATAAGCTTCGCCGCTGTCTCTAAAAACCTCTAGGGCGAAGAGATGAGACGAAACCAAAAAGACTATCTTTGGGCTATGGTATTAATGAGGGAGCTACAAGCAATTGATGAGATATAGTTAATGAAGGGAGATCGAGATAGGAAGTATCGACAAGAAGTTTCAAGTACCACAGGCTCGCATTGCTAGATCCTTCTCTAAAAAAGATCAGGGTTACGCAAGATTCATCCGTTGCCTTGCAGATTGGATACGAAAGTAAGGGTCGGTAAGATGTTAGTTTTAAGAATACATCCAATTCAAAGGGCGAATGAAAAAAAGGTGATTGTGCACGAAGGGCAGCAATGTTGTTTTTGACATATGCTTTTTGTTTTGTTTTGTTTTTGTCATCCTTCCTCTCTCCCTGTCCCTCTGTCCCTCTGTCCCTCTGTCCCTCTCTCCTTATTACCCTCTCTCCCCACTTCTTCGATTGAAAGCCAGCGGTCGTGTGAACATGGAAGGGTCCGCTCCCTTTAATCTTTTGGCATATTAGGCATATTAAAAAAATGTCCTCGCCCATCGAAACATTCAATCCCTTCCTCGTCAATTGGAATACGTTCATTGGGTACTCGCATGAAAATGGCTATCCCTGAGGCCCAAAACAGAGGAGGGGATAGCACATTTTATTCGGTTGTAGAAAAGAGCCATCTTTACCACAAGTACAGTCTAGTCTTGACGCGAACCATAGGCAACCATGTCTGTCCACCATTACTATCGACAACACTTTCCAGAAATGTCCCTCGAGCTCGTCTGTCTTGTCCAGAAGGGTTTACAGCGAATTTATTCAATAGCGGAATAAGTGAAAAACACCCATAGAATAGACAATTAATTCAGTCAGTAATAATAACGAGTGTGCGGTCAAGGTGTTCCGTTTTCTTCGGTTTTGTTTACATAGCGGTGAGGCATTTTTGCATGAATGGCAGGGTTATCCTCTTGAGTAGTCCTGTGTCTTTCACCGCTGTTGTCGTTGAACGGCAAACAGAGAGGGGACAGAGGGATGTTTTCCATTTCAGGCGCAAAGGAGGACAAACAAGTAAATGTCCAGTGCTTCAGCTCATTCATAGTTCATTCATTCATAATTCATTTTCCTGCATAAACGGATAACCTCCCCTCCAAAAGCGACTTTTTTTCTTCTTTCCTTTCGACCTCATTTTCATTTTCACTCGTCATATCCCCTTGTCACTTACTCCGATGAACTCCAGCAGCTCCATCCGAAACACTCACAGCAGCGACAAGGCCCTCCACGAAAACCATCCAGCACCCAACAGCACCGGCCTCCCCATCTTCTACAACTGTGGCAGCGACGGCGAAGGCAGTGGCAGTTGTGGTGCTGGTGGCAGCAGCGGAGAAGAAGACGATTACGGCGATAAGGTCGTCCAACGCCAACCAAGACGACAGCGAACCCCACCACCACCTCTAAAGACTATCATCGACAAGAATGCCAACAATACCTACCGACAGACCCATCTTCTGGGCGAAGTAAGTATTAATTAATGGCCCACACAGCTGCCGTACCTCAATCCTCCAGTCGAAAGCTGCAGAGCTAATCCTGATTCTGATCCTGTCTCTAATTTTTATTTCGATTGCTTAGGGTTCATTCGGACATGTCCATGTAGCTGTCGACGAGAAGGGTGAAAAGGTCGCTCTGAAAACCTTCAAAATATTTGACATCAAGAATTCGGATGTAAGCATTGGGTTTCTGTTACTGCAAGCATGTATGGAAGTTTGACTGGGTCGAGTCTCGTGTTCTAACCATATATGCGCTCTTACCTTTCCTTCCAGGTCGAGCAAGAGCGGCGAGCATGCATGACGATCCGCGACCAACAGCCTCACCACCCCAATGTCGTCGCCCCCATCAGCTTTTTCAAGGACGGAATGATTCCCTGTTTGACGATGGAACTGTGCTCCAACAAGGTAGGAGAGAATAATTAGAATCCATCTGTGATTGCCATGTACGCACTGACGAGGACAATACTCTGACACCTATATCCTTTTAAATACTCATACCTAGACTATCGACACCTTGTTGGATGCCAGGAGAACTCTTCGGGAACATGAAGTCCGGTATTTCGGACAGCAGCTGGTGGCCGGTGTGGCCCATTTACACAGTCTGAACTTAGTCCACTGTGACCTGAAGCCACTCAATCTGTTCTTGACAGACGAGTTGGTGTTGAAGGTCGGTGACTTTGGTCAGACGCAAGATCTGGATGAGCTTGAGGGCTTATGGTAAGATTATATGATTAAGCTATGTACGAGTAAATGTTCTCTTCGATTCAAATATGGAACATGTTGCTAACATAACCGTACTGTCGCTTACTCACATTAGGGATGTGGTCGGCACTCCGGGTTTCCAGGCCCCCGAGGTTCTCAGGAAAGAGAGGCACACCGACGCTCTCGATGTGTTCGCCATCGGAGCCATCCTCTTCAGGATGTTACTCGGTGTGACCTACAAGCTTCCTAGCAAGACCGCGGCTGGTGCGATGAAGCCTGTCAAGATTAACGGCAGCGTGAGTCCCCATGCCAAGGACTTGCTCCAGAGAACTCTCGAGAGCAACCCTGGGAGCCGCATCACGATGGCCGATCTGCTCACCCACCCCTTCCTGACCGACGGGCCTGTGCCGCAGAGTGTCTCCTGGGACATTCTGCGCACAGCTGCTCCGCTTCCAACCGAGGACGACGCATCAGAACCTGATGGCGCTTATCAGGTTGAGATTATCAATTCGCAGGAAGAGGAGGGTGCCAAGACGCTGGAGGAGCAGACCGGATCCCAGGTTGGCGATTCCCCCAAGGAGGAGGAGAAGGAGAAGGACGAGGAAGATGAGGAAGAGGAGGAAAAGGAGGAAAAGGAGGAGGCCACCCAGACCTTGGAGGTGGCCGAACCCTCGGAGCCAGTCGTCGACCCTGACGACATTGACCTCGACGACATCTTTGAACAGGTCGAGGAGGCAAAGAAGGCCAAGAGAGCCAAGAAGGTCTTGGAGGACGACTCGGACGGTGACGACGAGGCGGAGGAAAAAGCTAAGGGTCGCAAGAAGGCCAAGGTCATCCAAAGGGAGCGGTGATGGAGGAGAAGGCACCGGAGGACAAGGACGGAGGTCATGGTGGTGACCAGGATTACTGGCACACCTACCTCCGTCGGTAACTTGTATTTTATGTATATTATGTATATTAATTAAATTGTATTATATCATCAGAAACGAGGTAGTTGAAGTTGTTGTTGTTGTATGTACATATGGACATGGTGCGAGAGGATGCAAAGAAATGAAATGATGAGACGTTCGAAAGGTCAACAAGAAAAAGAAGGGACATGGCGCGACAAGTTCCAAAAGAAATGAAAGGGGAGACGTTCAAAAGGTCAACAAGAAAAAGAAGGTGCAAACGATGTGGTGATAATCAAGTCTGTGGATGGTCCTTTCCATCTGAAAGAAAAGAGAGCACTGCTGATAGAAAATCAATTAGTAGCCACAGGGTCAACTGTTGTTGTGTCGCATTAGAGAGTACCATCGGTTTTATTGAGTATTGTTGTTTGAGGTGGTGGTAGTGGTGTCGAGAGAAAAGAAAAAGGTATTAGGGGTTCATCCAAGTATCAGCGGGAGATTGTCCAAGGAGGACAAGAACTACTGGAATGAGCATCAGAAAACAAGCCCCTAGGCAAAAAAATCAACTCGGCGGGTTTGCGGGACCATGCTCCTCTACTGCTATCCACAGCGACTCAGTAGCGATCTGACATGTATTTCACAAGCTCATTCCCTGTTCACCCATTAACACCAGCGTATCCGGTTGAGTTGTCCTTCGGCATTCAAATATCTTCTTAGATTAAAAGTAGCTGTGCTTCTTGTCATACCCATTAAAAGAAAACAGAGAGCAGGAAGTACATATTTTATTATCTATGGGAAACAATGAGATGCCTTCTCCTGAAAGTACAAAGAGAGAAATAGAGTTTTTGATGTTCAAAAAGACAGTTCTTCTGGAATGCCGCACTCCGTAACCAAAAACACACACATACCTCTCCAGACTGTTATTGTCGCGCGGGGAGACGAAGGTAGGTGTCTCCCGCTCCTACTGCTTCATTGCCATCAGCTCCTCTTGCCATTACCCCTTCCTCTTATCACCAGCTCTTCTTCCTACCATTAGTCCTTCCTCTTGCTATCAGCGCCATGCAGCCCACCCGATAATAATGCCTCTATTTTAACCTTATTAATACTCGACTAAGTAATAGCAATGGGGAATGATCATGTCCAGAATGCACAGTTCTTCACCAAGTCCCTGCTGGCTCGCCAATTGTCCTGTCAGTGTCCTTTGTCCTGTTGTTCAGTCCTAGTTCGAGAGAGAAAGAAACAAAAAGAAGGAGAGACAAAAAAGTGGTTAGAAAACATCGAAGCCACTAACTAACTACATAAATACTCTCTTACCCCACAACCATATCGACCATTCCCAGGTAGTGTTAGACCAAGAAGAAACCACAGAACCCTCAACCATGCCCTCGAGTCGCAAGACATTCGCATTTTGTCGACAGTTTGGACATTCCGCAACCCCCCCCAGGTCCAAGCAGATCGATGCAGGGATACCTTAACAAGGTAGTGCAATAGCAAAATCCTACTGAAGAGGCACATTCAGCAGGTTAAAGTTCCAGCAGTGACTATGCCGCCTTCATTCCCATAGCAGAGCACCAGGAGGCTATACTCGCGATACCCTGAGAAGTAATGAAAGAGATGGAATGCAAGTCATCGGGGCTGAGACGGTGGTGCTACTCAGACGACCACATCCTGTTGACAGCCGATATGATTGTGACAATGGAGAACAATTACATCGAAAGTGCACCTTCCTTTACTGCCCAATGGCTTGTGCACGAGAACCTTAAATCCCGCCGAGGATGGATGAGTGAATGAGTCGACCGACACTGGTGAATGACTTGATTAGCGATTGATCGAATGATGCTCCATGCTCGAAAGTGAGTTGAGTGGCCTTGAATAGGTGGGTAGTAGAGGAGAGAAGTAGGAGAGGCCAATTGAATGCGAATAAAGCGAAATGAGGAAAGAAAGGTGAAGGGAGGTGAAGAGGGATAAGGTGAGGGGGGAGGAGGTGAAGAGAGAGAAGAAGGGAGCAGGGGGAAGGCAGAGGGAAGAGGCGTCGAGGAAGAATAAAGGGAGGCGTTGAAGATAAGCGTCCGGTCAATTGTGGTGTGAAGGGAAAGGGAAGAGGAACGGAAAAAAAGACGTCATGCACACATGGGCGCAAAAGAGGGCAAAAGAAAATGCAAGAGGGCACAATGTCCAGTGATCATTTCATGTTTATTCGTCTCTGCCATTGTCATCTATCTGCCTCCTAACAATAGGGTTCTCTCTTTTGAAAGCATTAGGGACAAGGTCTACTTGCCTCGCTACTCTTGTAGACCTGCAAAGGAACCGCCAAGTTTTTCGGCAGCCAAGATGGCTTGAGAAGCGGTTGAGGATGGAAATCAACATCATCTTCAATTGATAGTGCGAATGAAGAGTGCAAGGAGAAAAACCACCTAGTCGGTTACTAAGGTCAGATAGCTGCTCATCTTAGTCATAGTGCAAGGTCAAAACGACGTGCTCAATATGATGCACCCATACAAACACCCTTGTCATTGTCATATCTTGGGGATGATCAATAAGTGACTTGAACCCCTTGAAGTTTCGTGAAGCGTGTCTTGCTCTGAGTGGCGAGGAACATTGCTAGAAGGTTGTATCATTTTAACAACCTTTTGTATTTTCTTGCTGAGTTTCTTAACAGGTGTCGCAACAACATGCGGGTTCTGCTATCCTTTTGTAATGGAGTACTACTGGCATTTTGGATTCAAAGTCCTTGTAGGGAATATCTGAGTTCTCAGACTCAGGATAACCTTTCCACTCTGTACACCAGCCCATTGTCATTGCAGTCTGTGACTGAGGATCTTCTCTACCTCAAAATGCCCGGTTTCTTGGGTAGGTATGTCCGACGACTGGGACACACGCGAAGTCACGGGGGAAGTGACCAATTCGTGTTATCATAAAGAACATAGGCCCGTCGTGGAGTGCAACGCGCCACTTGGTCGGTTCATCATACTTTGGGTGTAATTGGTCGTTTGAATCGGGGTCATTTGCCATGACTATTTGCTTTGTTGAAAGTTGTAATCATTTTGTTGAGTGGTTCTCGCTTTTCTGTGATTGATGGGTAGACTGTGTTAAGCAAATACTCGTCTTAGTGCCTGAGGAGATGGGGCTCTGTTCTGTCGAGCCTAGGAAAGAGCGCCCATAGAATGGTCAGAACGGCGTAGAGTTGGGTATGCCTGTTACTCGGCAATAGAGTTGTCGTTGTGCTACTGGGAGATACATGCCCCATAGGGGCGTTTGTCTATCAATTACTCTGCGGACGTTACGTTCAGCTTAACAGTTCGCAGGAGGATGATATGGAGTTGCGAGTCGGTGGTCCACATTCATTATCTCTAGCATGTTGTGTATGGACCCGCTGGCAAACTCGGTGTCCTTGTCGGTCTGTAGGAAATTTAGGAAACCCAATCGTGCAGAATGACTTGAAAAGACGGCCAGCGACTGTAGTTGCAGTTCTATCTGGCGTGGCGTCAAGAAAATCGAATCTAGTGCAGACATCAACCATAACAAGGACACGAATGTTTCTACTATCGCTCGTTGGGAATTTGGATATATCAATCGCTATGCGCTCACCTGGAGGGGCGGCATGAGTAGCTTTTAGTGTGTGGAATCTTTTTCTTGCAATGTTGAAATGTTGTCACTGCGGACAACTGGCTACCCGTTGAAGACAAGACTCTTTTAGCTTTAGTCATTCGAATCCTCTACGGTGAATTGCTTCGACCATAGCATTGGCTCCGAGGTGTCTACAGTTGTGGACTTCTTTCAATAATAGGATTCAATGATCCTTATCGAGTACTGTCCGGTTCGTCTCGTTTGTCCACAGTCCATAGAGATGGGGTGCGGCGATGTCGACTTGGGATGTTCTCAAGGCTTTGAGCTATTTGGTTGGACATCACTTGAGGATGGTCTTGCTTCTTTCACAAAGACATTCTCTGATTGGAGTCTAGAGGGAGTTGTTAGCTGCGTGATGCAGAGGAATCATTTATTCAGAGTGCACTCATGTCCGAGGAAGACTTGTTGAAGCGTGAACATTACTTGACCCAGATTGGTTTGGTTTTCCTGCTATTTTGGAGGGAGTTCAGGTCCATTGGAAAACGATATATTAAAGGCCAAAGGTGCCATTTCCTGATGGATATTATGTTTATAGAAGAGGTCCAAGACTCTCAGGCTTTCTTCAATCTCATTGAGATGATCTCTTTAATGTTGCACGTCGCACTAACGGTGGTTCTTATACTTGAAGACCTCGCTGGACAGTTGATCGAGCCTGACTGTGCCCTATCTTGGATGAGACTGGTTCAGCGTGATGGAATGGAGAACGATATCAAGACATTGAATCAAGGAGAGGGAGAGAGGGGCAACATTGCTCTCGTTGTTTTTTCTTCTTCATTCACCTTTTGATGGTGACAACACATCAGCTTGTCTGTGCTATCCCTCTCTCCATTCCTCTACAAGTCTTCCTTCTCTCTACCTACTTCTCTCTTCCCTCTTCCCTCTTCCCTCTTCACTTTTCACTTTTCACTTTTCACTTTTTCACTCTTCACTCTCATTATTCTTTCCTCCTCTTCCTTGGCACTACAAGGGCAAGGAGGCAAGTAGACCTTGAGGGTGAGAAATCAATTTCCTTTCAGGAGGAAGAGCCCTTTGGCTTGGAGGCAGATGTTTATTCGTCGCTGCCATCACCCTTACTAATATGTATGTATGACGTTTTCTTTTTCCGTTTAGCAGGGTACCTCACCGCAATGACCTTGGCTTCCTCACAGCTTCCTTTCAATTCTTATCCTCAACTCTTCCCTCCTTCCCTCTGCTCCTTCCTTCTCTTTCTCTTCACTCTCTCCCTCTTCATCTTCTCCCTCTTCACCTTCTCCTCTTCACCTTCTCTTCTTCACCCCTTCACCTTCTCCCTCTTCACCTAATTCTTCCTCATCTCCCTTTACCTTAATTTCCTCAATACACCTTATCCGCGTTCAATTGGCCTCTCCCACTTCTCTCATCAATTCAAGTCCACTCGACTCACGTTCTAGCATGAAGCATCATTCGGACAGTTTTCACCCTGCGCTGATCAAGTCATTCAGCAGAATCGGTCGACGCATTCACCACCATGGTCACCGCCTCATTCATAACTCGGCAGGATTTAAGTTTATCGTGCCTTGCGCAATCGAGGAAGGTACACTTTCGATGTAATCGTTCTCCATTGTCACAATCATATCGGCTGTCAATAGGATGTGGTCGTCTGAGTAGCACCACCGTCTCAGCCCTCGATGACTTGCGTTCCATCTCTTTCATTGCTTCTCAGGGTATCGCGAGTATAGCCTCCTGGTGCTCTGTTATGGGAATGAAGGCGGCATAGTCACTGCTGGCTCATTAACCTGCTGAATGTGCCTCTTCAGAAGGATTTTGCATTTACTTGCACTACTTTACTCAGTATCCCTGCATCAATCTGCTTGGACCTGGCGGGGATTGCTGACTGTCCAAACTGTTGACAAAATGAGAAGGCGTGCGACTCGAGGGCACGGTTGAGGGTTCTGTGGTTCTTCTTGGTCTAACACTACCTGGGAATAGTCGATATGGTTGTGGGATAAGAGAGCATTTATGTAGTTGGTTAGTGGCTTCGCTGTTTTCTGACCACTTTTTTTTTGTCTCCCTCTTTTTTGTTTCTTCCTCTCTCAAACTAGGAGCACACAACAGGATAAAGGATGCTGAAAGGACAAAGTACACTGGCAGGACAATTGGCGAGCGAGCAGGAACATGAGCAAGAGTTGTCCATTCTCGACGTGATCATTCCCCATTGCCAATACTCAGTCGAGTATCAACAAGGTCAAATAGAAGCATGATTATCGGGTGGGCTACATGGCGCTGATGGCAAGAAGAAGGACTAATGGCAAGATGGAGGACTAAATAGCAAGAGGAAGAGCTGATGGCAAGGAAGCAGTTTTAACAGGATACCCCTGCCTTCGTCTTCTCACGTAACAATAATAGCCTGGAGAGGGATGTTTTTTTTTTTGGCTATTGCGGTGGCATTCAAGGAGAACTGGACATAGGAATATCTCTTTGAACATCAAATGACTCTGATCTCTCTCTTTGTACTTTCCAGGCAAAGGCATCTCATTGTTTTCATAGATAATAAAATATAAGTATTTCCTACTCCTGTTCTTTCAGAGGATGACCAATGGAGCGATGTAGATGGGGATCGACACATTTTTAGTAGTTTAGTCTAGTTTCTTTAAGGAATGGCGTTCCTTGCTGGATCCATTGCTGCTATCGACGATTTCTGATCCGCTTTGAGTCGCTAAACGTGCTTGTGTTTTGATGTTTCATCATTGGAACACACACATCCCTTTCGAGATAAATGGATGTATCTTTTTTTTTTTTGGGCATGATGCGTTCTTGTATCAATATTTTGTGTGAAGGATAGACTTAGGTCCTTGGTCAGAATATGTGCAGTAGAGAAAACAAACCTGAACGCACATCAAGTTGATGACGATAGCATTTTTTTTTTTTGGTTGGACAGGACTGTAACAGTGTAATTTTTCTGAAGAGCATTGGACACTAGCACACGTCGAGGGCGTTTTTATCCTTTTTTTTATATATTTTCGGACACTGAAAGGAAGATTGGAGTGCGTAGGCGACCCTATTATCTTTTCATTCATGTAATGTGGAACTATGAAGATACGTCTCTTATGACCCACTATCCTTTGACACGTCTGTTATTTTTTTGAGAGTTGACATCCCACACCTTTTTGTGATGTCGTGTAGACAATTGCAAAAAAATTACGTCTCTGAAGGGAGTGGGTTCGGACGGCATCCCTTCGGTTGAGAACATCTCCTTAGAGAACGGTGCCGCATGGACAACGAACCGAGCCTTGTCAACGCCTACCTAAAGTCCATGAACTCCTCAAGCATCACGCAACACATTCGCTCGTTGACAAGGAACGTCCTGTTATAGTTACTGGCGGACCAATCTGGATAGCCGATCTCAGTGGGAAGGGCCTCGAGGTGACGGCTTGTAAGGATGTACATGCTTCTGGCCTCGGACCTGGTGAGCATCGGGACGACATTCAGCCCACAGTACTCGTTGGTGTATCCATGTAGACCGGCTGGAATCCCCTCCCCAACCCCGCCCTCCCTGCATATAATCCGCCATCACTGCTTGCAATACAGACGCTACTCCTGTCCCTGAGCACGGACAGCAAGAGCATCTTCATGTCCCACATCCTTTCACAATGGCTACACTGGATAATCATGATCTCAGTATGCTTTTTGGTTATTAGTTGTTGGGCTTTGTGTGTTGCTTGTATAGTGCTGCGTGTTAGGTGGTTTCATCTGTCCCCCTCTTTCTGTGTATTTTTTTTTTACTTCGATGACAGCAGCAGGAAACCAATATTGGTCATGGAGCTATACAAAGAGAGGCTAAGATAGATTTTCATGCAATAATGAATGTCATGTACATTGACGAAGACGCTTTGCTACCTGTAGGTATCCTAGACTTGACCTGCATTAACATCGACGATCAAGGACCTTGTCGAGGCCCGTGGTCGCCTCGAGGAGCATTAAGTCCGAGTATTCGGCCGTGGTCTTGCAGTTAGAGTCTCCCATCCACACAGTATCCGATTTTTTTGTAGTTCGATACAGGAGCAACAGTGACGTATTCTTTTTACAAGAACAAACGTATGAACATGGATACTCTCAGAGTTTTGCCGGAACAAAAGCCACTCTTTTTTTTTTTTTTTTGCACTTCAAGTTGAACGACGATGCAGTAACGGCATGCGCGGCTTTCAAACAGCGAGTAGGAATAGCGGTGGTTCCCAGTTCTTTTTGTCGTTATTTTGTAGTACCGTTTTTTTCATACTTTTTTTTTTTAAATCCTTATTTCGATTCACTGCTCTGGCCTCGATCGTACCACCCTTTGATTTCTGCTATTTTTTTTTTCTCATTCCAACATTTAGGGTAGACTTACTTGAACATTCGCTACTCTGGGTCTCATCTGTTCCGCAGTTCGCTTATTTTCTTGAAGTGGCTCATAGTGAGGCGATATGAGATGGTTCAACGGGTAAAATAGGCAATAAAAAGGGCGAGAGTGTCTTATGTAGGTGTGCGAGACGAGAGGTAAACGAGAATAAAAAGGCGAGAGCACAAAAAAAAAGGGAAAACGCACACCTCATGGACGGGGTTGGACATCTGCAACAACGTATGATCATTGTTGCACCATCACTGTAAAGATAAAACAAAAAAGTGGAGGAGTGCGCGTAGCAAAATGTCAGAGTAATACGAGGGGAATGGGGTTGGTTGCGGTGAATGAAACAGTTTGTATCTTTGGGGTGGGAGGTGTAGACGCGCGAAAATATAGTCGCGCCCGTGACGCCTGCCAAAGACGCGTCGTGTCGGGGGCTCAATCTGTTTGCTTCTCGATCGTCATTTGTCTTTTTTCACAAAGAGCAACTCTCCTTGCACCTATCTACTATCCCCAGTTGACTAGCCCAGGAACGCTTACTAACAGCTGTCTCAACCAACCCCACCAAGACACAATTTTTCTTCCCCCAAACAACCTTCTTCACCCACTCCCACCTTCGTCTTTGTGCCGTTGCTCCTGAATGTGTGATCCTTGACCGTTATGTATTTAGAAGTGAATGAACACTCAGACAGATGAATTGCGTCCCTCCCATCCTCCCATGTGCACCTGCGCCATCCACCCTCAGAGCTACTCAATATCTCCGAGGCGAGGACTGCACCCAGGCCAATAAAACAGACATCACCGACCCAGCTGACCCATTGGTGATAAATTAAATTGCCGGATCCGGTCCTTTCATTTTTGCTCACTTTGCTGTGTCAGAAGACCGAAATATGGATCTTCAACGGACATGTTTCTTGAAATGGTTACAGAGATTTATTTTTCTGCGCAGAATGAGAGCGATGAATTCGAGACTAAAAAAAAGGGGCGGAAGAGTTCTATGATACATACACATAAATGATACAGATGAGGCGGGAATATATATATACACAAAGTCGATTGAAAAAGAGAAGTGGGGAGGAGTTATGGGGACAACAGCGTAGGGCAAAGGAAACTAGTACAGAGAGAGACGTCCAATGCCGGCAGCATGATGGGCTGTGTAATTCCAGTTAGAAGCAGTGGTGGCCGTGTTGTTTTGGTTCATGGTCTTCACCATGCTGATCGCATTGGCGCCACGTTCCTGAGGGGTCTGCATCACTTGGACGTGCAGCACTTGCTGCTGCTGTGGGGGAGAGAACCTCGTCTGTACGTTGAGAGAGGGGCTGCTCGTGGCATACATTCGTTGCCTGTAGATCTTCTGTTGCTGTATCTGCTGCTGGAGTTGTTCTTGCTGCTTCAGGAGGAGCTGCTTCTCTTCCTCGAACTCGAGTTGGCGATGATGATGTTGTTGGTATTGTTGTTCGTGTTTCAATTGGATCAATCTCTGTTGCTGTTGTTGCTGTTGCTGAAGGTACGCCTGCTGTTGAAAAGTCAAGGGTTGATTTACGTAAGAAATCCCTCCACCACCACCACCTCCTCCTGTCGTTTGCAATTGCTGCTGCTTGGGCCACGAATTCCTACGGCGCTGCTCCTCTGCAACTACAGCGGCCGCTAGAGCACGTTGTTGTTGCTGTTGCTGGAGAATCTCTTGATAGGCTTTTGAGCTTTCCGCGACGAGCAATGCAAACTCCTGCTTGGCCTGCAACTGAGCATGTTCCTATTAATTTTTTCACAAGAGAGAGAGGGAGAGAGGGGAACGTGAGTTTACAGAAGCGGTAATGCCGATTCGCTACCAAAATCAATTTCCCCTTTTCCTACTCTTTCCCAGAGAACAACGACAAATAAAATTTCATGCAAAACGAAAGACAGGTCAGTGGACCGCTGTCGTGGGCGATGGGAAGAAACAAGCTTACTTCGAGCGCAGACTGGGTCTGCTGCTGTTGCTGAATCGAGGCACCCGTGAAAACAACGCCCGCCATCCCTTCTTCCTCATCCTCGTCCCCTTCCTCACTGGTATCCATCACAGTCGCAATTCCCCTTCGACGCATCACCTCCACCTCTCGGCCTTCATGCATCAATCGATGGATATTCCGCTGATGCTGCTCTCGACGCCGGACCAGTGGTGAGATCTTCATGATGGGCATGTGGAGTGCATGACGCGGGGGGAGGGTTGTTGAGGTAGTCGTCCAGGCGAAGCCTCCGCCTGTGACAGAGTGACGGCGGCGCTGGCGACGGATCTGGCTACGGACTAAAGTTGGTGAAGGATTGCTTCTTGAGGATGATGGGGGAAGGAAGGTGTAGGTTGCGGGGAGGCTGGTGCTGGCAGGGAAGGCAAATGAGGACTGACGGCGGAGTGGTACTTGCTGGTTTGTGGAGGCGCCAGTTGATAAAGGGGAAGTGGATGGTGGTGATGAAGATCCTTGGTCTTTGGTGAAGGAGGACCCTTTGTAAAGGTCACTGCTGCCCGCTTGGAAGGAGAGGCTCCTTGGTAGGATTAGAGGGATTGGTGCAGCTGGGGGATAGATGAGTGTATCCATGTTGTGATAGATTGAAAGTTGCTTGAGATGTAGCTTGTTGTTGTTTGGTGGGCTGAGAGAAGAGTTGTGGGAATAAAAGAACGAGAAGAATGGTAAAGTATCAGGAAGAGGAAGGAAGCAAAAAATGGGCGCAAGACCCATTCATTTTATTTCAGTGACAAAAGCTATTAAAAAAACGGTGGCAAAATCATGACCCTTTCGGTATCCTGCTCTTAGCTCTCCCGTCCCACAAACAACGGGCGTCATGTAACTGGACAGCTTGGTTTCTGTCCATCTTGTGTTGCTCACACGTTCCTTTTTCCTGTCGTGGAAAACAAACAAATGACGCATGGGAAAAAAACACGAAGCACAGAAAGCGTGGCATGAGATACATAAGAATCGAGCTACAACATATTGAGGGTGCACACAAATATTTCAAAAAGTATATTCTGGGGGGCGGTATCGCGAGAAAAAAAAAAGAAAAAACTTGAGGCATTCAGGGAGAGGCCCATGCGCGCATATCGATTCCTGCAAATAGACAGGATGGAAGGACAGGCAGGAAAAGGCAAGGCAGGGAAGGCCAGGACCCGACTCTTGACTCCTTGCTTGATCACCTGCTGCGTCGACTGTTGTTCGACATGAGTACCGTCAGTTTCTTCTTGCCTCGCTTCACGACAATATCGGGTTCATAGTCCATCTCGTCCTCGTAGTAATCGTCATATTCGTCGTGGTGTCGACTGACGGGCACGGAGGGGGTGCCCCAAACAGTCGATGGACCCGTCGCCTGGCTACTCCCATTAGACTCATAGCTGCTCCCCCAAGCGTCCGACAGAGGACCAGTCGCTCCTGCCAGCGACTGATTGGCGGTTTTACTATTCGTAGGTATAGTCCTCGTGGCGGTTCCCGGGGCGGTCGGGATGGACGGCCGCCGGGTAGACCGAGCATGGGCCTCGCTCAAAGTTGGCATCTCCTCTGCCTGCGCCTGTGCTGACAATCGCAGAGCCTCCTGCAGATCAGCTTCAGAGTCACGCCGGTTGGCTTGCGATCCTCCACCGGGTCCAGTTGGCACATGGAAGAAAGGGTCGTTGACGAAAAGCTCTTCATTCCGTCTCGCCTTGGGTGGGTTCAACTTATGCTCGCGCTCCACTCGCTCCCGTTCCTCTCGGACATCCTTCTCCTTGCGCTTGGCTCGGCGCATCCTCAGCTCGGTCTCAAAGGGCTTGACACCTTCATCACCAACGATGGTCTCTAGTGCAACGTCCAAAAATGAGACCTCGCAGCCCAATGGAAGATGACCCAGGTATTTACATTTTTTCCGCACCTCCTCCGTCAAACTGGTCTCCTCAATGCCCAAAACCTTGACTGTAATAGTGTCTGGGAATTTGTCGTATGTTTCGAAATGCTGCTTTAGGATGCGAATGTCGAGTGGTTGAAGGTAAAGGTGGTGGCCATTTGAGGCCTGATAAAAGTAGTACATCGTCGTCAGCTGGTTGGGGACTCTGCCCGATGCATGGTGCTTTAGTGCTGCTTCCTGAGGCACATTCGTGTCGGATCCCAGTTCACTGCCGTGATCTGCATTTGATTCCTCTGCAATTGCAGCTTTGTTAGGCGCTCCATGTCCAATCTCGTAGGCTTCAGGTCCCGATTCAGCAAACGACAAAGCGGGCCTGGCAGGTGTTGCTGACTCCTCATCTTCAGGTGTGGCAGAAGCCGCAGCAAGAACCTCGCTAGCAGCATGGTCGAAATGTCGCCGCAAGATCCTTTCCCGATCCAGTGCCAGCTTGGGGAAGAACTTGGCGTCGTCCCGGATCTTGTCCTTCTTCTCCTGAATCTTGCTCATCGCCATCTCAAAAAACACCATCTCTTCCGAGTGGTGATTGGTGTCAAAACTCCTGGCCTCCTCCATGCTGAACTCGATAGAACGGATATCACGATCCAACTCTGAGACAATCCTGTCGAGGGTGGTAATCATAAATCGACTGAAGAGGATCGCGTCAGGGACAAAGTCCAATGGTGGCTGACCCTGGAGCTCCTCTGTTAGCACGTCTTTTGCCAGCGGGAACGTATTTGACCGCGGCAGAGCGACTGTAGAATTCTAATATCACGATTTGTCCAATAATCACACGAGGTCAGGATCGATCTACAAGAAAGGAGGATGGCAAAGCATGGCGAGACGGGCATGCGTGTCATAAAGTGTAGGATTCTTACCAGGGTGCGCTGAATCAGTCGCATCTCCAATTGGACATCCTGCTTGGAAGCAATCAGCTTGGCAATCTCCTTCTCGCCTTGATCGTAAATTTGCTGATCCTCCAGGGCAGATCGGACACTCTTGAGGTCCTTCTCGTAAATGGCATCCCAGCAGATGGGACACTTGCGCCAGGCTTTGTTGGACTCGTTCAAAGACAAGTAGCGAAGCACGCAAGAGAGGCAGTAGACATGTCCGCATTTGGTGATTCGGGCCGCAACGGGGGGCTGCAGACAGATAGGGCACGACTGCGGCACCGCAATTAAAACCTGCTCAATATCATCCCACTGTACCGGCGCATCCGCATCCATTGTGTAGACCGCATAGTCGCTGCGGGGATTCATCAGGAATCGGAAGCTAATCCATCGCAAAAAAGAAAAAGTTGTGTTAGGTCACTTTATCCGCAGGAAATGGTTGTTAAACCGCGATTTCAAATAACGGCCTGCATTGTGCGCGTGGATACAAAATGCGATTCTGGAGTAACCCGCATTTATCATTTTCAGCATGGGCGCATTAAGACACTTACTTTGCGTTGATGAACTTTTCCTTGTTGAACGGCTGGTAGTTGGCGTTGCGGCGACGGCGGACAGGGGCAGTGTTCTGGGGCTCCTCGCGCACAGGGAACGAAAAATTGAGCAGGTGGTTCAACGAGACTTGGTTTTTCTTGTTGTTACCCCTTCCAGCTCCACCAGATTTGTCGTTCGTGCTGAGCTGACTCATTGAAATAGCCAAGGAGTCGCTCCCCCAGGAAGAAGACGCCCGAACGTTGTGGCCAGCACCTCCTGCTGTTCCTCCTCCTCCAGACCGAGGTTGTGGCTCCCTGTCGTGTCCACTCCGTTTTGAGTTACTCTGTCGCTGGTTCTTGCCCCGGCCCGGAAGAGAACCTGGCGCAGTAGAAACAGGGAAGAGGCAAATAAATGATTAGCCCAAATACGTTGCTTAGACAAAAGAAAATCATAATAACGAGTTGGATTAAAGTAGCGGTTGGTTGTACGGTTGTTTTTGTTGTTGAATAGAAAATAACCTACGTTGCTGTTGCTCTGCTGGGAAGGACTTTGACTGGTTTGAGGGAGCAGGAGTGCGTTGGTTTGACTTTTTACTGTCGTTGGCAAGGGAGCTTGAGAGATTCGATCGAAAGTTGGAGTTTCCAGAGGGCTTGTCGTTTCCTGTGCCTTGGGGGGAGAAGGAGGCCGCATTGACGTTCATCCTGGTTATGCTTTTATGAGGTGTAGGTTCCGAGCGAAGGAAGTCCTTTCTATGCTGCTGTAGGGTGTAAGGTTGAACGAGGGAATGAGGAATGGGGTGTGAGGTGAAGAGGGGTGTGCTTGTTGGGTGGTGGACTGGGCCAGAGAGGTTGGCTCCAGTTTTTTTCAATCGAATGCAAAACGGAGAAGGGAGGGGACTTGACTCTTCTGCTGAAGCACAATGAAAAAAAAAAGCGCAGGCCGCACGTGATCTAAAGACCCTCGTCCTCTGGAGTGTCAACGGATTCTTCCCACACGGCGATAAACCCCTATGGCAAGAAGCAAGCAAGATAAGGCGACATCGTCGCCAAGTCCCTTTTCTTTCTTGTTAAGTACTGTAGCGATGATTTACTCGTATGGGTGTATTTTTGTGTTGCAGGGCGCGTCTTCTCTCTCCATACCATAGGATACGTGCAGTGCAACGACTGTCGCCCTACCAACTATGCAATGATGCCTTGGCAAAAAGAGTTCACGCAGCGGGAAAGCGAGATAGAAGGTTGGAGCCCCTTAACAATGACGGTGACGTCTGGCCTGTCTGTCAACCTGTGCCTGGTGACCGAGCGCGCCCACTTTGCCCTGTGTCCCTCTCAGTCAGCGAGGAGGTTGATCTTTTGAGGTGATGCAGAAAAGTGGAGTGTGCGGTCCCCTTCTACTTCTTTTTTTTAGTACTGTACGTCTTTTGCATTACACTCTCCTCTTCACTCTTTCAATCACACACCTCCACTTCTCTCCTACATTGTAAATACTCGTCCTCAACACTCGTCTTCTTGTTCAACTCATTGCTGCATTCGCCAGAGGCTCACTTTTATTACGCCACTCGTTCGAAGGAACCTGATCTTTCGCACACACGTACCCAGCTCGACTGACATTATTCCTCTTCTACACCTTGAACATCATGCTCTTGCTCTTAGCAACATAATGTCCTTCAACAAAGCTCTTAACGACGAGGAGGTCTTCTCCGAAATGAGAAAGATGGTAAAGCAAACGACCAGCGACACGCAATCACATCACCTTTCAAAGAGAACAACGACACAGTGAAGTAGCACGCTGTTCTAGAATCAAAAGTCGACAGAAACTCACAGGATATCTTCTTCGTTTTTCCATGCCATATAGGTCGCTTTCATCAAGCAGGAGGCTTTGGAGAAAGCACGCGAGATCAAGGTCAAGGTACGTCGGATTGTCCCTCCTCCTCCCTTTTCACGCCAATAGGGACGCGGCAGTTTGTTGTCTTTTGTGCTATCTGATCGACTTAACGAACTGGTCAATAGCAAAGATGTATCATTCGACACGACTCGATTGCACGAAGCACTGACAGTCTCTCGGTTCTTTATTACGTTTATCATTAGGCCGATGAGGAGTTCAACATTGAGAAGGTAAACAACCGAAGTCTCCATCGCAACACACAAGAAGGACACTCGCCTCGATAACACGCAAACTGGAGAACCGACGTGACGAAACCCCGCAATTGTACCTGACAAGAAGTCTCTAAATTGGACAATCAATAATAGGCCAAGCTTGTTCGCCAGGAAGCTATCAACATCGATGCTGCTTTCCAGCGCAAGGTCAAGCAGGCCGATGTCCAGCGCCGCATGTAAGTCGAGGATGAAGAGATAGATCTTTCAGCGACAAAGAAAAAGAGAGACAGGGAGCAAGAATTAAGTGTCGATGGACCGAATGCATGATCATTTTTTATCCGCCCTTATTTTTTTTCTTGCAGGACTATCATGGGGATGGAAACGAGACCACTGAACTCAACCTCCTTATTTACTATTATTTTAGTGCGCAATCCAACAACATCAACAAGTCGCGTATGACTTTGCTTTTGACCCGTCAGCAGATGCTCGACGACCTTTTCGCGGAATCCAGGACTCAGCTCTTGACAGTTAGCAAGGACCCCACTCGCTACGAGAAGTTCTTGAGCGACTCTATTCTCCAGGTACCACTTCACACCCTCACCCTCAGTGGAGACAACATGATAGCAACCGCATCCAGGAACATGCACCACGCACTTTTTTCTCTACCTGAAGTTGTCCACTAACCGTCAGCTGCTATTCGAATAGGCCTTCTTCCGCCTTTTGGAATCTGAGGTCACTATTCAATACCGCAAGGCTGACAAGGCCCTTCTCGACAAGTTGTTGCCCGGTGTCAAGGCCCGCTACCTGGAGGCCACTACGCAGACCGTCGATGTTCAGCTCTTGGACGACCACCTCCCCGCCGACGGGTACGCCGCATTCACATCTTTCGTCTCTTTTTGGATTCACCACATGGAAGATATCGCGGCCAGTTGAAGTGTACCACTAACTAACGTGGTGTTTCTCCTTGTACACTCTTTGTTTTGCTCTCAATTAGTGCTGGAGGAGTGATTGCCGCTGGAAACGGTGGACGCACCAAGTGCAACAATACCCCCGAGGCCCGTCTTGCCATCCTCGAAGAAGATGTAAGCAGTCATGAACTACAGGAGCCTAGGCCAGCACTAACACCTTGAAACATGACGACATTCTGTGCAGAACGTTGGCAAACACGAACGCGGGAAAAAAAGGGCGTCTCAACTTGTACTCTGGAAAAAAAAAGACTTGGCATAGACTGACCTTCTTCATTTCGCTTTTACTACGTTTTGGTAAAATAGATGCTTCCTCTTGTTAGAGACATGCTTTTCGGACAGTCGCCTAACCGCAGGTTCTTCAACTAAGAGCGTCCAGGACGACACTCCTTCACTTACCCTCATCCTCCTTCATCCTCTCCTATCTCCTCAACGCCCAAACAGCGGAACAATTCACATATTGGATTTCAACATAGCTCAGTGAAAAAAAAAGTCGACTTAACATAAACCAAATGTCAAATTGACGGATTCACATGGACGCACGGAGTGATTGTAAACAGAAAAGTATTTATTTTACAAGTTTTTGGTAAGGAGATATGTTACATGGAGCTCGTCTTGGGGAAAAGAAAGTATGCACTGATTAAAAAGATCGAGCAGGAATAGAAAATAGAAAGGATATAAGTTTGCAAGAGGAGACAGACAAAAAAAAAAAATGCTAGCGAATGGGTGCACCTTCAGCCGACTTTCCAAAGGAAGTGCCTGTCGTTTCATCTTCATCTTGCTGCTGACCATTGGCCATATCAGCAGCCTCTTCAGCGGCAGCAGCCGCACTAAAAAAGGGATGCCGCGCCTCCTCACAATCAGCCAGAAAGCTCGAAAACGACATTGTCGGCGAGTTCTCTCTGACCGCAGAAGCGATCGAATTAGGGATTGGTGGGAAGGAAGGGATGCTAGTCTTGGAGTAGACATAGACATCCGACACGGCATCCACAGCAGCACTAGCACCGTTAACGATCGATTGCCGGACCTCAAGAGACTTGAATTGGTCCAGGAGGTACTGAGTCTGTTCCTGACCAAATTGGAGGAACCGTTGTTGTTGATGCAGCCAGGCAGTTTGATGCATCTGTTCGACCTTTTCGACGTCCGAGATGTCCAGTAGCTCTTCCTCGACCTTGAGTCTTCCCAGGCGGTTGTAGACCCTCCTATAAACAGCAAAATGGGAAGACGAGCGCATTAGTCAGTTACTTATTGCAAACACAGAGAGGCGTCGTTCGAGTGTTTTGATTCTTTCTTCCCTTACCTGTAGCTGAGATCAACAATGGCGACGCCGACGTTGATCCACCGTAACGCCCAGAGTGGCAACTCGCTCATGAATTCCTCCTCAGTCGTCGAGACACGGAACGCCATCAAGTTGTACGAGAACCAGAACCAGACAACAAAGATCGACGTCTGCGCCATAAAGATCTTTTTGATGGTCCGAGAATGTGGAGGTGTGATAACAAGGTCGTATATGTCCGACAGCATCTTGCAGGCCATGTAGACATTGCTCGCTGACCCCAGGAGGAAGAATCCAAGATGAAGGTGCTGCAACCGGCAGAGCAAAAAGTACCAGATCCGGTCGTTGACAAAAGGGTAGAGTAGCATGGCGGCGAATTGGCTGGAACCCATGATATCGATTCCTGCTGCGACCCATGCCCAAGAGGACGGTCCTTGTCCCATTCTCTGCTTATTGGATTCGCTTTCTTTCTGAGTGGATGATCCTGAGGCTCGGATAGATCCTTGGCCGTTGTTGTTGTTACCGTTACCATTTCCGTCGTTCCTGGTTGTGAGGACGTTGGAGTTTGAGAGATGAGGAGCATAAGGGCCAGGGAAGAGGTTCACAAAGAGGGAGGGTGAGGCCAAGGGTGCTCCAGGTACCGAAGTTGTCGCCGCTGCAGCGGGCGAAGAGGATAGTCCACCATCGGGTCCAGGGACAGAATCAAGGATTGAAGCAGGAGCAGCAGCAGACTTCGTAGAAGCCATCAACTTGACACGAAGACGAGGTCGCTGACCAAGAGGGTTGACTTTGCAGATAGGGAAAACGGACATGTGTTCCATATTGGAGGAGATGTTGCGAATTGAGCCCAGGTACTGTGCAGGGCTTGTTCCTGGGTTGCTCTCCCTGTATCCGGAGAGGAGCACACATACTTTCATCAAGTATCCTGAGGGGAAGAGCATCGCCAGGACAACCAGTACTGTGATCGCAATCCTGACTCCTGTGTTTTCGTAAGGTTGACAAGACAAAGAAGGGGTCGGAGGTTGAGGAGTAATTGAATGAACGACGTGATCGAATGGAGAAACGAGTGGAGAGACGAGTGGAGAAGAGAAAAAGGTTAGAGTTGTTTGTTGGCCAATTTCTTTGGCATCACATGTAAAGCATTTGAAAAGAAAAAAAACATCGTCAAAGCCAGTAAGGAAGGAAGATGGGTTTACCTCGATATGAGAGAAGTTCGTAGAAGCGAGCTCGCTTCTTGAGGACATAGTTAAATCCGCACATGGTGCACGAGTTGGCCGATTCGTCTCGACCGTGGGCCATCAAACTCTTTCTCCTACAACAGGAAGACGTCAGAAAGGAGGAGCGACAAAGGTAAGTACAAACTTGCGATCAGTGAGCACTGACAAAGGGGGTCCTTAAACCAGCTCCCTCGTCGTAGTAACCGAGCCCTGCTCCTTCAGCCGTATTAGCCTGACTGGGTGAAAAGGACATAGCGTTTTTGGGTGTAGGTTTGCATGTGGGGGTTATGAATGTTGCATTGGGCGTGCTGTTCCTGGTCTCGCTTGTTCGGTTGCTCTGTTTGGCATTTGTTCTTGAAGATGTTGTATCACATGGTGAGAGAAAGAGGTTCCTGCACTGATCTCGTCTTCTCATTTTTAGATGACTGCTAACTTAACGACGTAGGGGCCCTCACGCCACTTTTGGTGCACATCAACACTTCGACAAACTTGTTGAAAGCACGACAGACATACCAGCGAGTGAGGCAGTGGCTGTGGACAAACTTGATCGAGCCACGGCACCGACAGGGGGAGTAGAGTCCGTGGGGGTCATCGTCCAGACAGATTCGACAGCACTGGGCCTTATTTGCGAGCAAAGGGTAGACTGAACCCGAACCCTCGGCAGTCGACGACGACGATGACGGTATCGCATTCGAAGCCGATGCGGAAGCTGTTCCTGCTTCTTGATCTGTCGACTTTGTCATAGGCAGATAGTGAAGGTGCTTGGTGCTTGGCGCTGCTCGGGCGAGTTGAGGTAGTGCGTATGTGTCTCCTTGTTCTTGTCTGTGGTGTCCTGGTAGCTGAGTTGTCCGTTTGGTGACAGTGAAGCCGGCGGTAGAAGTGAGCGAATGTGTCTCTAGTTGTTGGCTGAATGCCTTCAAGAAGAAGCAGACTGGAGTGGAATGGACGAGCTTGCAAGGATGGAGGAGCTTGTAAGGATGGAGGAGCTTGTAAGGATGGAGGAGCTTGTAAGGATGGAGGAGCTTTTTTTAAAAAGAAGTAATGGGAAGAGGAAAAGTTAAAAAAGAAAAGAATGAGGGGGGGGGGGTCCAAAAGAGAGAAGGGTGAAGGAAGTTGAGCGAGAACGGAGAGCCACTTTTTAAAGGCTAACAGGGCAGTCAGGCCACACTCACCTTAGCCCAAAGGACTCACTCACTCACAGACTCACTCCGTCTGCCTTCACAACAGAACTCGTCCCTCCCACGCTCATTCCCTTTCCCTAATGTCTTGTTCACTCCTTCATCCTCCATCCGTCTCTCCTTTGCTTTTTTTTGAAGCGTATGTGCGTGTGCGTTTTCGTATGCAACCAGGGGTAAAAAAGTGGAGGGGCTGCTGTCCGTCAAAGTCTGGCAGCACAAACAAACAAATACAAGATGTGTCCAGTGGTCTACGTGTCACAAACATGTTCCGTGTCTGAATGTGCTCACTTCTCCACAAACAGGTCAAAGGAAGGAGCAAAAGACAAAGCCCACGCATACCATACGCCCTTCCCGCTTTTACGCTCCTCTGCTCGATTCTCGGTCAATGATGCCAATTCATCCTTGAAAGTGCGTGCCATGAATCGATAGCAATAACGAACAAGAAAACGGAGGGACCGGAAGCGAACGAGAAACACCGGAGGGGACAAACAGGCCATAAAAGAGGCCAGTGAACGTGACATGAAGGCGAAACAAGGTTCGATCGAGCCTGGTCACCCTTCTGCTCCTCTTTATTTACATATTAAGTAGCGAGGGAGAGAGAGGGGGATTCAAACGCGCGTTCATGCATGCCTTTTCTTTCCCACTCACCCACACCCCTAGTTTTGCACCTCTCTCCCTTGCTGCTCTGAATGCTAACAGTGCATTTTTGGCGTCTCCCTTTCTCCACTGTGGTTTGCCACAACAACAAACCCTTGGTTGACAGACATGCAGGAATAGTTAGATCCCAAACTTTCAAATAAAAAGTGAAATTTAGTGGCGTTGAGTCAAGCCACTTTGTCCGCCCTTCTCCTTGTTCATCGATCACATACTTACTCGCTTGCACTTGTTGTGATTCAGGTCCGCTCCTTTTTTTTTCTCTCCGCTCCTCTATACCCTGTCACTCACTCACTCACCCATCACTCAGTCACTCACCCATCGCTCATTCACGCACTCGCACTCATCAACTCAAGAAACGCACAACACCTCATGTACAAGCACTTGTCAGCACCCACTCTCCCGGAAGCCTCACAGACTGTCGCCAGGGCAGAGCAAATAGGCGACTACGAACTTGGCGACACCCTCGGCGTCGGTGCCTACGCCGTGTACGTCTCTCCCCCTCTCTTTCTTCTCTCTCTTCTCTCTCTTCTCTTTCTCTCATTCTTACGGTCGTTTTCGTGGCGCATTCACTTAACTCGTCAAAAGGCACTCCTCATTCCACAAACAAAAACAAACTGTCATACAACAACCCTTGCTGACAACACTACTATTTATATGATAATAGTGTCCGTCTTGCAACACACAGAAAGACAGCGGTCAAGGCGGCAGTCAAGATCATACCCAAGGACTCGGAAACAGGACTCGCCAAATCCATCCAAAAGGAGCTTACCATTCATCGTGGACTGCAGCACCGCAACATCTCAAAGTTCCTCGAGTCCAAGGAGGAACCTGAGTGCATCTACATCTTTGTCGAGTATGCCGCCGCAGGAGAGTTGTTCGACAAGATCGGTAATAACCACCTCCGCTTACTCACGCTCATGGATGCGGAGGGATCAGTTTTTATTGACAAAAGGAAATCGTGAACCAGAGTTGTTTACTCACGCATTGGTGCCTACTTGCCATCATATACTTCCTCTTAGAACCGGATCGTGGCATTCAGGAAGATCTCGCACATTTATACTTTCTGCAGCTGATCTCTGGAGTGGTGCGTGGAGTTTCAACATGGGTTCGCTCTCACTCAGGTTTCGCCAATAATACTAAAGAGGCTACAACTGATACTCACTCTACCTTTCCTTCTCTCATGACAGCGATACATGCACAGTAGAGGCATTTCACATCGGGATCTTAAGCCCGAAAATATTTTGTTGGACTCTTCAGGTAATGATCAGGACAACAAAGGATAACATAGACAACACACGGCAACCAAGTGTATTATCAGAAACAAGGAAAGGAGTGCCAACGACTCATTCCCTCTCTTGCCTTATCATCTTCTAGGGACGCTAAAAATTTCTGATTTTGGACTGGCGACTGTGTTCCGTCACGGAGGAAGGAGTCGGCCATTAGAGACGCCTTGTGGAAGCGCGCCTTATGTTGCGCCAGAGGTATGTGGCACGTGCATCAAGTATACCTCACGACTATGAGAGCGGGTTCTTGGACAAAGAGCACATCCTTGAGGCGTCCTTTGTACTGAGATCGACTTTACTCCTCTCAACTTCGCATAGGTCCTGGAGGAAGAGTACAGTGGCGATGCGGTAGATATCTGGTCTTGTGGCATTATCCTCTACGTGATGATGATCGGAAGTAAGTGCACTCCTTGGAGTTACAATTTGGTCCGCAAGCCTCTACTGTGCGAAGTATCAAGAATACTGATATATGCATGTCCTCTCCCTGTTACCATTATTAGACACGCCATGGGAGCTGCCATCGGCTGACAGTGACGAATTCCGGTCGTATCAAGAAAGTCGTGAGAACCCTAAACATGAACCTTGGAATAGACTGCAGGGACCTGTGCGTAGTAAGTTTATGATTCCTGAGCACTTATGCGGCACTTCATTCACGACACACGTTCATATAGTATATAGTACATAAACGACAACTAACTCTTTGTGTCCCGATTTGATGTTACACAGAATTGCTCCTAGGCATGCTTCGGATAAACCCCACCAAACGATATAGTGTCAAACATATCCTGAAGGACGAGTGGTACAACAGGTGCGTCTACAATTCCTGGTCACGGTTTACTCATGGTTCTTTGCGCCAAGCTTTCAACTTACTAACTTGAGCTGACTTTGTCTTTCGATGATAGACCAAATGCCCTATTGACGGATGGTAAACACTGGATGATATAGCTTTCGCCATTGGTGTCACAAAGCTCTGATGCAACCTACTAACGACTTGCTCTGCTTCTACAATGTGTAGGCCTTGTCAATGATCCGGTTCAGCTGGCTAGTTTGCTTATGGAGAACGTCAACGACGCCTCGAATTGCTCACCAGTGTAAGTCTCGCTGCTCTTAACCTCTGAGAGACCATGCATGGCTGCGTTGATTGACATTTGTTTCCAAAACTTACCCAACCTCGAATGGTGTCTTGTGTCTGAACTCCAGTGTTGCCTACTCACAACCGCTGAATACTGGACGCTTCCTTCAAAGTCAGAGCATGGCGTTTGATGTGCGGAACTATGCATCGTCTCAACCGGCCCGGAACAACGAACGAGCCTCAGACAGTTCTCTGGGCGCGCGAATTGCCATCTCATGGCAAGATGAAGCGTTGGAGTTGTCGCAACCTGTAAGCAACGAAATTGCCACAGGATGTTATTTCGATCCTAGAATGAAAAGTAGACGTACTCCATGCCAATGATTGACATGGTCACTAACTTCTCCATCCTCAACTCTTGTACACTGTAGGCAACACAATTCACGGAGGCGACCTTTTTGGAGGTCTTTTCGTCTGAACGCTTGACCCGCTTCTTCTCACAGTCGGATCCGGACTTTATCGTCGACTCTTTGGCTGATGCTATGGTCAGCAACCTTGTCGCCCATACCGTCCATGCCAATCTCCAGAAGGTACAGAACGTGGTTATCTAGATTCTGGTCTATGAGAGCTTGAGAAATGTCTTACGACTAGGTGTACTAATGATCGCCCGCTCCTTTTTGTTTCGACCCACCCTCCTTAGATCGCCATTTCAACGACGGATCAGAGAAGATGTTTCCTGACAGGAGATGTCAAGGTGGTCCCATATGGCACTGACAGCCAGCTGGTCATGTTTGTCAAGAGCCGAGTAAGTCTGCTTACACTTCTGAACATCTAATTGTTGATGAACTGCATCCTCTCATTATGACTGCGGACTAAATTTAACATACTTCCATCATTGTCATCTCCCGTTTCCCTGCTTGTAGGGTGATCCTTTGGAATGGAAGCGAATGTTCAAGGCACTGGTGTCGACCCTCCTGGACGCCGAAAACCCGATTCATCTGCAGATGAACCCCTAATACCTTCCTCTCTCCTCTCGACACCACCACCACCTCTTCAAACAATAACACTCAATAAAATTGATGGTAAACTCTGACGCGACACAACAACGGTCGATTCTTCAGGTGCTAATTGAATTTCTATCAACAGAGCAATCTTTTCATTTCAGATGGAAAGGGCCATTCACAGACTTGAACATCATCACATCGTTTGTCTATTCTTATTCTTGCTGACCTTTTGAACGTCTCAACCTTTCGTCTCTTTTGCAACTTGTCGCGCCATGTCCATTCTTTTTCTTGTTGACCTTTTGAAAGTCTCATCATTTCGTTTCTTTGCATCCTCTCGCACCATGGCCATATATACATACAACAACAACTTCAATCACTTCGTTTCTGATGATATAATACAATTTAATATACATAATATACAACAAAAGGTCATCATACAAGGAGCGGCAGAGGCAGGGGAATCTCTGAAGGCATCCTTTACCGACGGAGGTAGGTGTGCCAGTAATCCTGGTCACCACCATGACCCCCGTCCTTGCCCTCCGGTGCTTTCTCCTCCCTCGCCGCTCCCTTCTGCATGACCTTGGCCTTCTTGCGGCCCTTGGCTCTCTCCTCCTCCTCATCGTCATCGTCCGAGTCGTCCTCCAAGACCTTTTTGGCTCTCTAGGCTTTCTTTGCCTCCTCGACTTGTTCAAAGATGTCGTCGAGGTCAATGTCGTCAAGGTCGACGACGGGCTCTGAGGATTCGGCCATCTCTAAGGCCTGGGTGGCCTCCTCCTGGGTCTGGGCCTCCTCGTCCGAGTCGTCCGAGTCGTCCTCCAAGACCTTCTTGGCTCTCTTGGCTTTCTTTACCTCCTCGACTTGTTCAAAAATGTCATCGAGGTCAATGTCGTCAAGGTCGACGACTGGATCTAAGGGCTCGGTCATCTCCAAGGTCTGGGCGGCCTCCTCCTCTTCTTCACCCCCCTCCTCCTTCACGGAATCGTCCAACTGGGACCCGATCTGCTCCTCCGGCGTCTTGGCATCCTCCTCTTCCTGCGACTTGATAATCTCAACCTGATAAGCGCCATCAGGGTCTGATGCGTCGTCCTCGGTTGGCAGGGGAGCAGGTGTGCGCAAAATGTCCCAGGAGACACTCTGCGGCACAGGCCCGTCGGTCAGGAAGGGGTGAGCCAGCAGATCGGGCATCGCGATCCGGCTCCCAGGATCGCTCTCGAGGGTTCTCTCAAGCAAGTCCCTAGCGTTGGGACTAATGCTTACGCTAATATTAAGAGGCTTCCTCTTGCCAGGGAGCTGGTACGTGACACCAAGCAACATCCTGAAGAGGATGGCCCCGATGGCGAACACGTCCAGGGCGTAGGTGTGCCCCTTGCGATTGAGAACCTCGGGGGCCTGGAAGCCAGGAGTTCCGACCACATTCCTAATGTGCGTAAGCAATAGTACATGAGTAAGCAACGGTACAGGTATGTTAGCAACATGCTCCATGTTTGAATTGAAGAGAGCATGCTTGAGTTAAGACAACATTTACTTGTACATATCATAATCGTATCATCTTACCGGAACTCCTTGCCCTCTCTCAGATCTCGCGTTTGACCAAAGTCACCGACCTTCAACACCAACTCCTCTGTCAGCAAGAGGTTGAGTGGTTTCAGGTCATGGTGGACCAGGTTCAAACTGTGTAAGTGAGCCACGCCGGCCACCAGTTGCTGTCCGAAATACCGGACTTCGTGTTCCTGAAGACTTCTCCTGGCCTCCAACAAGGTGTCCAGGTTCTAGATAGGTAGGAGTATTTAAAGGGAGATTGGCGTCAGGGTTATTGTCCTCGCCAATATGTACATGGCAATCGCAGATGGATTCTAATCATTCTCTCTTACCTTGTTGGAGCACAGCTCCATCGTCAAACAAGGGAACATTCCGTCCTTGAAGTAACTGATGGGGGCGACGACATTGGGGTGGTGGGGCTGGTGGTCGAGGATCGTTTTGCACGCTTGCCACTCTTGCTCAGCCTGGAAGGAAATGTTGAGAACACACATATGGTTAGAATACAAGACTCGACTCAGTCAAACTTCCATACACACTTGCAGTAGCAGAAACCAAATACTTACATCCGCCTCCTCCATGTCAAATATTTTAAAGGTCTTGAGAGCGACCTTTTCGCCCTTCTCGTCGACAGCCACATGAACTTGTCCGAACGAACCCTAAGCAATCGAAACAAAAATTAGAGACAAGATCGAAATCAGGATTAGCACTGCAGCTTTTCGACTAGTGGATTGAGGTACGACAGCTGTGTGGGTCATCAATTAATACTTACTTCGCCCAGAAGATGGGTCTGTCGGTAGGTCTTGTTGGCGGCCTTGTCGATGATGGTCTTGAGAGGTGGTGGTGGGGTGCGCTGCCGTCTTGGTTGGCGTTGGACGACCTTCTGGCCGTAATCGTTCTCGTCTCCGCTGCTGCCACCAGCACCACAACTGCCTTCGCCGTCGCTGCCACAGTCGTAGAAGATGGGAAGGCCGGTGCTGTTGGGTGCTGGATGGTTGTCGTTGAGGGCCTTGTCGTTGTTGTGAGAGTTTTGGATGGAGCTGCTGGAGTTCATCGTAGTAAGCGACAAGGAGATATGACGAGTGAAAATGAAAATGAGGTCGAGAGGAAAGAAGAAAAAAGGTCGCTTTTGGAGGGGAGGTTATCCGTTTATACAGGAAAATGAATTATGAATGAGCTGAGGCACTGGACATTTACTTGTCTGTCCTCCTTTGAACCTGAAATGGAAAACATCCCTCTATCCCCTCTCTGTTTGCGTGATGGCTGCCGTTCAACGACAACAGCGGTGAAAGACACAGGGCTACCCAAGAGGATATCCCCTGCCGTTCATGCAAAAATGCCTCACCGCTACGTAAACAAAACCGAAGAAAACGGAACACCTTGGCTGCACACTCGTTATTATTACTGACTGAATTAATTGTCTATTCTATGGGTGTTTTTCGCTTATTCCACTATTGAAAAAATTCGCTGTAAACCCTTCTGGACAAGACAGACGAGCTCGAGGGATATTGCTGGAAAGTGTTGTCGACAGCAATGACGGACAGACATGGTTGCCTATGGTTCGCGTCAAGACTAGACTGTACTTGTGGTAAGGATGATGGTTACTCTTTTCAACGGCCGAATAAAATGTGCTATCCCCTCCTCTGTTTTTGGGCCTCAGGGACAGCCAAATTATCTTTATTATTCTCTCCTGTTGTTTTTCATGCGAGTACCCAATGAACGTATTCCAATTGACGAGGAAGGGATTGAATGTTTCGATGGGCGAGGACATTTTTTAAAATATGCCTAATATGCCAAAAGACTAAAGGGAGCGGCCCCTTCCATGTTCACACGACCGTTGGCTTTCAATCGAAGAAGTGGAGAGAGAGGGTAATAAGGAGAGAGGTACAGAGGGACAGAGGGACAGAGGGACAGAGCGACAGAGGGAGAAGGAGAGAGGAAGGGTGACAAAAACAAAAAAAAAAAAGCATATGTCAAAAACAACATTTTTGTCCTTCCACAATCATCTTTTTTTTTTCATTCGCCCTTTGAATTGGATGTATTCTTAAAACTATTATCTTACCCACCCTTACTTTCGTATCCAATCTGCAAGGGTACGGACGAATCTTGCGTAACCCTGATCTTTTTTAGAGGAGAAGGATCTAGCAATGGGAGCCTGTGGTACTTCTATTTCTTTGACGATACTTCCTATCCCGATCTCCCATCATTAACTATATCTCATCAATTGCTTGTAACTCGCTCATTAATACCATAGCACAAAGTTAATCTTCGTGATTTCGTCTCATCTCTTCGCCCGAGAGGTTTTTAGAGACAGCGGTGAAGCTTATTAGCTGTACAATTAATAGCAGTATTCATGAATTGATTCTTGGTGTTGCCAACACATTAGGTTGTCTGACTGCACTTTTTTCTCTCCCTCCTTCTACAGGTCAGTATTCCTTCTCTCCTCTTCCTTTGCAAGTCTACAAGAGCAGCGAGGCAAGTAGTTCTTGAGCGCAGGTGAGTACCATATTTGGTTACGAGGCAGATAGAGGAGAAGGCCCGTACCAAGGCCCTGTGATCATTTCATGTTTATTTGTCTCTGGCACTACGTTCCTGGTTCTCCCCTTGTTTTTGCCTAGCTTCCTTTTTGCTTCCATCGATTGTTTTGCCTCCATGTCTGCATGACGTTTTTCTTTTTTGTGTTTAGCAGGGGTACTGTTGCATAGGTACCTCTTCCTTTTCCCTACTCACCGCACTGGCCTTGAGTCCATTCCTTCTTCCCTTTAATCCCTATTTCCTATTGGCCCTCTACTCCTTCCCTCTCTCTCTTCGCCTTCTCTCTTTAATTTCTCTCTCTTTACTTTCACCCTCTTTACTTTCACCCTCTTTACTTTCACCCTCTTTACCTTATCCTTCTTTACCTTATCCCTCTTTACCTTATCCCTCCTTAATTCGCCTGATCCGCGTTGTTCAATTGACCTGTCCCACTTCCTCATTCATCCTCGGCAAGATTTAAGGTTCTCGTTAACTTGCACTACCTTACTAAGGTATCCTGCATCAATCTGCTTGGACCTGACGTAACACTACCTGGGGATGGTCGGTATGGTTGTGGGGTAGGAGAGTATTTATGTAGTTAGTTAGTGGCTTCGGTGTTTTCTGACCACTTTTTTTTGTCTCCCTTCTTTTTTGTTTTTCTCTCTCTCGAACTAGGGCCGCACAAGAGGACAAAGGTCACTGACAGAACAATTGACGAGCGAGCAGGGACTTGGACAAGAATAGTGTATTCTCGACATGATCATTTCCCATCGGCAATACTCAGTCGGGTATCAACAAGGTCAAATAGAAGCATAGTTATCGGGCGGGCTGCATGGCGCTGATAGCAAGAGGAAGGATTAAGGGTAGGAGGAAGAGCTGATGGTAAGACGAAGGACTAATGGCAAGAGGAGCTGATGGCAACGAGGCAGTAGGAACGGGAGACCCTGCCTTTGTCTTCTCGCGACAATTACAACTTGGAGAGGTGTCTGTATGTGTTTTTTTTGGGCTATTGAGTGCGGCATTCAAGAAAAACTGGACATAGGAATGTCCCTTTGATCATCAAACGACTCAATCTTTCTCTTTGTACTTTTCAGGCCAAGGCACCCCATTGTTTACCATAGATAATAAACATATGTATTTGCTTCTCTCCGTTGCTCTTTCAAAGAGTGTGACAAGAACTACTGCTACTTTTCATCTAACAAAGATATTTGAATGCAATGGGCTTTTGAAATAAATCTCAGGTTGTTTTTCGAGTCGCTGTCAATAGCAGTGGAGGACGCATGGCCCTTCAAACCCACCGATTTGACGTTTTGTCTTGGGGTTGTTGTCCGATGCTCACTCCTGTAGTCCTTTTGCCTCTTTCCGCTGATACTTGGACGCTTGGGTCTACTGGCACCCTGATTCTTTGTGCTTCTTTGTGGCCTTGTCTTACGAAGGCTTGTAGGACCGGCCAATCAACCTTTTGTAAAGGATGGCGTCTTCACACCACATATCCACCGCCGTACTATGCATTTTCTTTTGGTCGAGCAACTTAGGAGCCTGGTAACCCATTCCCCCCCATAAGTTCACTAGGATTAAATCAAAGGAAGCGTTCGCCTAGGTTGGTGTCCAGTTCATTTTTTTAAAGGAGCAGTGATATGTAAACCAAGAACAGTACTACTTGCCCGATTATCTTTCTACTCGACAAATTCTCGACGAAGCCCGGGTTGCCAATCTTTGGCATGAAAGCCGTTACTGGGCATGACGTTCTCTGACTTGAGGTAGACGTGGCCAAAGTGAATTCGGTGTAGGAGCACAAGACCCCCTGTCAATTAGTTGTCCCAAGTGGCGGTTTGAGCGTTCCATGAGTCGTTTCCGTGCCTTGACAAGGCCTCTGATCGTGCGCCTTAGTCCCATAACTGATGCAGTTAGCAAATAGCAAAGGCGTCTTCTTTAATGAAAATGACACCCCTGATTGCATGCTAATCTATCTTGCTCTCTTTTGGCATAGCTCCATGCCTAACACTGGTTTCCTGCTGTCATCAAAATAAGTGATGGGTCTAGCAAGGTTGGGGTGGGGGTTTTGAGGAATCTTGTCACCAGCCTGCTTCCGTCTGACCTATAAGGACCAATGTATTGTCGAGATATGATTAGTAACTCGCTCGCTGTACATAGTTGTTCAGCCTGCCTCAATTTGCTTTCACCGACTGAAAAGTACTTACTTCTTCTTGGTCTTGGGGATAGCCATGTCATATCTACACTTGTTGCTGTCAATTACTTTGGTAACGGACCTATATTCACCTTACAAGTAAAACAAAGAGGAGACAATGTTGACACAGAGACAGTAAACATTAGCATGATTCAGTAACGTCTTTAGCATATTGGTCAATTGGGTGCTTACCTGTCCGAGAGAACTGGTCTCCTTGTAGATGACATCTGTCCGGGGATAGATAAATGTAAGGAGGAATATCTCCTTAGCCGCAATAGCGTTGCCATAATTGTCGTCGCCGATGTCGCTGTTGCCGCTGCTGACAGTATCGGATCTAGAGACGTCGCCACCGTCGCCGATTTTGATCCCAGGTCCAGCCAGGGGCGGTTAGAATGGCTTGATATCCCGGTGAACCTCCTAAGGCGCGAACATAGAAGATGCCTTCAAAACTTGAAACGCCGCCGTTTATTCGATCTGAAGGATCAATGTTGGTTCGAGAGAGCCAAGCGACGATACCTAAATCAAAGATAATAGCAGAGGCAAGAATAGCATTCATTATATTTCGGTCAAGATGTCTCTTCCTTGATCGCACTCCAACCAAAAGGGAAAATGCTTACATCGCCCATACTCACTTGCAGTTTGTCTTCCCAGCAACAGACAGCCGATGGCCAAGGGCCAACGAACGCCTGAATCATCGCGAACACGGAGAGACACACTGAAGAAGGAGCTCGTTTTATTTTAACGAGGATGTGCCTTAACCGAACTTAAGTAACGTGTAGAAAAAGCTTACATTCAACTTTATCAGATTATGGCGTTAGGAAAGAGAACTCGATTTTCGACCACTGCTATTGATAGCGACTCGAAAACGATCCGAGACGTATTTCAAAAGCCCATCGCCTGCTCATCCATTAAGACCGGTATATCCGGTTGATCTGTTCTTCATTTCTCATTCAAATATCTTGTTAGATGAAAAGTAGTGTTTTTTCTTGTCACACCTTTTGAAAGAACAGCAGAGAGAGTAGGAAGTACATATATTTATTATCTATGGAAAACACTGAGATGCCTTCTCATGAAAGTACAAAGAGAGAGATAGAGTCATTTGATGATCAAAGGGACATTCCTATGTCCAGTTTTTCTTGAATTCCGCACTCAATAGCCATAAAAAAACATACCTCTCCAAGTTGTAATTGTCGCGTGAAAGGACGAAAGCAGGGGTCTCCCGTCCCTACTGCTTCGTTGCCATTAGCTCTTCCTCTTGCCATTAGTCCTTCTTCTTACCACCAGCTCTTCCTCCTACCATTACCCCTTCCTCTTGCCACTAGCTCTTCTTCTTGTCATTAAGCCTTCCTCTT